TTTCATGCACAGCACAGATCGTCCGTCATGATAGGTGGATCATATTTTCTGTATTTGGGCAACTTTGCATTTCTATATTTCTACTCTGTTATCTCTCTTTACTTGCAGCAATTCTTAATCTGGGGAATTTTTACACACACACACACACACACACACACACACACACGTGACTATTTCATTATAATTGGTTTCCTTGATTATCCTTTGTATTTTATTTTATGCATTTAAGCACATTCAGAGAAGAGATCCAGTGGCCTCACTTGTCTTGCAGAGCAAGACCGACAGTCCCTGCTGTGGTACCTTCATTTATGCTTTTTCAGGTGTCCTAGTGAATATTCTTTCCAGGATGACTATTTATCTATCACATAGGGAGATTATTTCACTTTTTTTGAAATAAAGATAAAAATATTAAAGACATTTAGTTGTTAAAAATGTCACACAGGTGGCTGTGGGCTGGAGTCAGGAAGACCCAAATTCAAATCTATTCTTTGACACTAGCTGTGTGACCCTGCACAGGTCACTTCACCTGTTTACCTCAGTTTCCTCATCTCCCACATAGGAATAGTACTAACCTTGCAGGGTTGTGAAGGTGAAATGCAATGTTAAGGACTTTGCCAATCTTAAAAACAACATATAAATGCTAGCTGTAATTATTACCTGTTACTGCATTATCTCAGTGTTTAAACAACGTCAAGATTTTTTTGAGGGAAATCGGCTTATAATGCATTTAACATAATGAAAGAGAAGAAAGTAGCCGATATGTGAGTTTGAACTTCCACACAGAGAAGTTTCTCTTGGGCCTCCCACATTTCACATTTTGATACATCAAACAGGGAAACAGCTTACCTCCTCTCTGTAGGGACTCATGCCCTGATGCTGATTACGGCCTTGTCAAGAGGCTATCCCCACCAAACCAGATTCCACCTGGTTTGAATCTGCCATACTAGGTAACAGATGTGCTGCACTCACCCTCAGTTTGAGTCAATTTTGTTCTTTTGTCAGCTGAATTGCATTTTGTTTCCACTTTTCAAATGGATGCATTTCTTCATATATACAGTTGTCTTACAGTTTTGGCTCTGTACAATCAGTGACCCCTTGAGAATGCCTCATGCTTTGGGAAACTGATTTAATCCTGTTCTCAGTTTCCTTTTTTCCAGACTAGGGACTAAACCTGCCCACCCCATCTTGCAAGGTTGTTGTGAGAATCAGATTGGAGAATGGGTCTATCTATGTGCTAAGAATGTGCTGGGAAGAAAAGGCCACCAGCCCAGTCTTCATCTCACATTCTCCCAGCGTAACTCCAGCGTAAGCTGGAATCCTTTGCAGTCAGCTCAAAGATGGGGGCCTCTCCAGGTTTCCCGATGGCTGGTGCCTCCTTCAGAGATGACCTCCCACTTATGCTGGCCCTGTCTTGATGGGGGGGGCTTGCCTGGGCTCTCTCCCAGTAGAGTTGGGTCTCTGAGTGGAGGGACCACATGTTGGCCTTTCTTTGTATTCCCAGCCGTGGGCACATAGCAATTTAAATACACACTAGGTACTTGCTGCCCAATTAGAGAACCTCTTGGGGAAGCTAACGTTACAGAACTTGGAAGTCTTAACCATGCTAAACTCTGGCACAACCACCCCTCCTCGCTCTCTTCACCTTCGGACAGGGCTGGTGACTTGAGTCTGGGATAAAGTATGTTGTTTGACTTACTGTAATCATTTAATGAGAGGTGGCATGAAGAGCTTGAATTTAAGGTCTCCCCAGAGCGAATGAAATCCCAGTGAGAGATTTTTTTTTTTTAGGCAGTTGGGGTTAAGTGACTTGCCCAAGGTCACACAGCTAGTGAGTGTCCAGTGTTTGGTCTGAGGCCGGATTTGAACTCAGGTCCTCCTGACTTCAGGGCCGGTGCTGTGTCCACTGCGCCACCTAGCTGCCCCCAGTGATAGATTTTTAAGGCTTCTTGCCCTAGGTTTCAGAATTTTGGAATAGAAATGAACCATGACTAGAATTTCCCACCTGTGTTGGAGCAAGCAAGTAGAGCATTTTTAAGTACAGTGAAAGGCCATGTTAAGGATCCAGACGTAGTTCCTTTTGGTATTTGTTGTGTGGTGGGTGAAAGATGAAATGACTGAGGAAACAAAGGTTTGATCTTCCAAGCATATAAATTGATTAAGCAATGCATGCCAATTGCCTAACAGTTTGGGACCAGGCCCTCTCCTCAGCTGAAGGCTGGACCCCAAATCCAGGGGGAGATAGCCTTTTAAAAACATTAAAAAAAAACATTTTAGAAACAACTACTCAAATAAGGCCAACTAATGAAAACATTAGGCAATCTGATTTCTAATTGGATGAAAGATTAGGGACTTTGCAGCTTGGGAGGGGGAGAGTGAACAGGTGCAATTCCCTGAATTCAGAAAAAGAGGTGTCCTGCTCTCCCCCACCCCCAGAGTGTCTGCAAACAATCAAAGGAACATAGGAACAGTAACTGATTGATGGTATGGGGCCAGTTTTCATATAAGACATATGAATTGCTCAAGATGTACAATTGTGAGAAAACTTCTTGTACCAGTCTTTGGATGTGACTTGAGTTTCTGGTCAGCATAGCTGAACTCCTTAGTTAAAGGTCTCTAAGCAGCAGGGAGAGGTGGTCCAGCTTCTCCACCACAAAGGGTTAGGTTGAAACAATCAGTAAGGTTTTCTTTTAATTCCCACAGTTGAATAACAAGTTTTCTCATGAGACAGAAATTGGACTAGACCCATAATTGAATAGAAAGGGAACTGAGCTAGCTCCAGAATTGAGTCACAAGATGGAGTCAGTGGGATCACTCATTTCCCACAATTAACCACTTGCTGTCCTAATGCCCTCCGTTCTTTCCATTGTGAAGTCTCCTTTTGGATTCCATGCCCTTTTTCACTCCAAGAATGAATAACCTTGACTTCAGAACTTGAAACATTCTGTCCTCTAATTTTATGATATGGCTAGGTCACCTCAAGTATAAATCAGCATGAAACAGCAGAAGGAGTACTGGGTTTGGTGTCAACCTGGCTCTAATCCGCCCACAGACACATGCTCTTGGTCAGTCAGTCAGCAGGTATTGATTAGGTGCCATCCTAGGCCAGTCAGATGGAATACTTAGAAAGGAAAATGACTGCCCTCAAGAAGCTAACATCTTTTCAGAGGAGACAGTCCATGGACATAGGGTTATATTCCAAACAGGTCATTTTTTAAAATAATATTTTATTTTCCCCCCAAGTACACATAAAAATAATTTCTAACATTTTTTTTGAGTTCCAGATTCTATCCTACCAAGACAATAAGCAGTCTGATATAAGTCATATATGTGCAGTCGTGTAAAACGTTTCCATATTGGTCATTTTGTGGAAGAAAACTTGAACAAAAATAAAGAAAGAAATAGTGTGCTTTGGTCTGTAGTCAGATGCCCTCAGTCTTTTCTCTGGAGGCAGATACCATTTTTTGTTATGAGTCCTTTAGGATTGTCTAGAATAGCTAAGATATTCCCAGTTCTTCATCATACAGTATTACTGTTACTGGGTATACAGTGTTCTTCTGATTCTGCTCACTTCACTTTGTATCAGTTTATGTAAAACTTGGCCAGTTTTTTCTGAGGGCATCCTGCTCACCGTTTCTTATGGCACAATAATATTCCATCACAATCCTATACTACAACTTGTTCAGCCATTCCTCAATTGATGGGCATCCCTTCATTTTCCAATTCTTAGGCACCACAAAAGGAGCTGCTGTAAATATTTTTTTGTACAAATAGCCAATAGGTTCCCCCCTTTTTTTTGGGTTAGAGACCAAACTGAGGTGCTGCAAATATTTTTGTATGTGTATAGGTTCTTTTCCCATTTTTATCTTTTTGGGGTACAGACCTAGTGATGGTAATTGCTGGGTCAAAAGGGTATGTATGGTTTGATCGCCCTTGGGCATGGTTCCAAAATTGCTCTCCAAAATGGTTGAGTCAGTTCAAAATTCCACCAACAGTGCAATAGTGTCCCAATTTTCCTACATCCATCCCCTCCAACATTTATCGTTTTCCTTTTTTGTCTTACCAGCCAATCTGATGGGTGTAAGGTGGCACCTCCGAGTTAGGGTGGGTCATATTTAAAGAAGGAGGCGCTAGCTGCTGGCTGGGTGGGGAGCGATCAGGAAAAGCCTTGTGGTGAGCCATTTAACTTCTCTGTGCCTCATTTTTTATTGTCTGTAAAATAAAAGGTTTAGACCATATGTCTAAGATACTCACCCAGCTCTGAATGTATGGTCTGTGTATTAGTGTTTTAATGAAGGGAGGACAAGTAATACAGTGGAGAGAGAGCCAGACTAGGAAGCCTGGGCTCAAGACTGGCCTCTGACACATTCTAGCTGGGTGACTGACTCTGAACAAGTGTGCTTGTTCCTCAGGGCACTGGGCAGCTTGAAGATGAATGTGTAGACAGTGCCAGCCTGCTGCAGTGGTGGCAGGAATGTTCTTACCTGGGCATTCCCTCTGCCAGGTGAAATGCCTCTCTGAGTCGGGGCTGAGGAGTGGTCCTGCCATTTTCCTTTCTTGGTTCATCCCTGTCGCGTGGGTTTACTTCCTTCAGACTCTCCCCTTGGTTCTTAGGAGTTCTCTAGCCAAAGAAGTCCTGCGCTCACATACTAATGGCCTGATGGAGTTGCCTGAGAAAGTCCTCTTGAAGAAAGACGTGCCTTTCTCCACTCCCCATTTTCCAAAAACATTTGTGCAGAGGTTTCCCAGGGACAAAGAAGCCGCTGGTCGTGTTCAGAAATGGTCTCGATTTTATTTCTCCTCCTCTCTGGCGTAGGAAGGCACATAAGCCGAGGAGGAGGGGCACTGAGCCTTCCCTAGGAAGGAGGGACAGTCAGATTCCCTGAGCACTCAAAGGCTCAACAGTTTTGAATACGTGTGGCCAGCTCTGGAGGGCTCGCAGGGTGGGAGTGTGCCGGTCATTGTAATCTCGCGAGGCTTGAAAAACCCTCTCCGTATTTCAGGTGTACTAAAGAAATTTGAGGAGGAAGACCTGGACGACCTTTTAAGGAGAAGGCTGAAAGACTCCAGCGAGACCCCGGGTGCTCTGTGGCACATCTACGCGGGCAAAGATGCGGACAAGATCAGAGAGTTTCTCCAGAAGGTACGTGGTTCCGTCTTCCTGGTGTCAGTCAGAAAGCGTTTGTAGTGCTTTGGCTCTGCTCGCGAGAAACAGTCCCACCTCCTGACATTCTGCTGGTGTGTTGGGACTCCCAGGTGCATTAGCAGGGAGTTGAGGCTGGAGTCCAGAAAGGGAGGAAGGCATGGCTGGTTTGGGCGCTTTGCTTAAATGGAGGGTCTGGAAGGAATCAGCCAGTCAGAAGAAGGGGACAGAGAGAGATTGCTGGGCCATGAAGGAGAACGCCCGGCTGGTCTGGGCACTCAGCTCAGAATGGAGATTTCTGGGAGGAGCTGACAAATCAGAAGGGGGCCCAAGTCTCAATAAGGAAATCATTTTTGGTAGTTTTTCTTCTCTTTTACAGCTTTTTAACATTAGTATGGGATTTCTTGAATAGCTTTTACATTGTTTTGGGAAGAGTTAAAATTGGAAGCTTGGAAATCTGAAGACAAAAGTCTGGACCAGGCCTGCATAACTTTGGGCCCATGGGCCCCTTACAGCTGCGTACCACTTGTAGCCCCCAAAAGGATTTCAGGCGGCTCACAGAAAAGGTAGAGGGCGTAAAACAGGCCCGAGCAACATACCGCCCAAGGGCCTGGTCTGCACTGTTAAGTAAGAAGGATTTTAATTGTCAAGCTCTTCCTAAGGAGTGAGGGTGCTCCCCTCCTGCCGAATCCTCCCACCCCACCCCTTCTCAGTGAGCCAGAAAACTGTTCCTTGGGTGCTGACAGGTGGTGGAAACCCAAAAAGGAGGCCAGTGAGTTTGTTTTGCTTTGTCTGTTTTCAGTGTGATCGTTTCCACCCTATGTATTGGCCTAAAGACAAGGTCTTTGTGGTCATTGTGCCTGGCTGCTGTTGGCTTCTTGCTCTCTAAGCTATAAACATAGATCCCTTTTTCACATGGGGATCTCATCAGCTTCTATAGATTTAATCACTGTTTCTGTGCTTGATGACTCTCAATCTGCCTGTCTCTTCCCAATGCCTCTGCTGACCTCCAGTAGACGTCTTAAACCCAACATGTCCAAAACAGAGCTCATTATCATGTGTTATGAAATGATGTTTGTAAAAAGCACTTGGCACCGTGCCTGGCACATCGTAGTTGCTGTGTCAATGCTTATCGCTTCCCCTCCTCCCCCAGCTTCCTTCCTCACAGTCCCTCAGGTTCGTATCCTCGGTATTATCCTCAGTTCCGCCTTCGCTCTCTCATTCCCATATCCAAGCTGGTGACAAGGCCTGGCAGTTTTACCTCTGCACCGCCACCTCCTCACCTCATGCCTGGACCGCTGCCAGTGCTGCTGGGGGATCTCCCTCCAACTCCTCTTCCATTCAGCCACTGAAGGGATTTTCCTAAAGCCAAGGAGGCCCAGCTGTGTCTCCCCCTCTCTGCATACACACTCAGTCGACTCCAGTGGGCTCCAGGATCAAAGTAGACGTCTCTCCTTGGCATTCAAAGCCCCCCACCGCCTCACACTCACCCATGCATTCCTCTGCTCCCTCTCTCAGCTCGTGCATTTTCTCTGGCCGTCCACCATGCCTGGAATGCTCTCCTTCCTCTCTGCATCAGCTGACTTCTCTGGCATCCTTCAGATTCCAGCTAAAATCCTCCCTTCTGCATGAAGCCTTCCCTACCCCCTCTTCAGTCCCACACCTTCTCTCGATTAATTCTTTCCGATTTGTCCTGTTTAATACTTGCTTTGTATATACTTGCTTGCATGTTGTCTGCCCCATTGGAGGCCCCGGCACTTTAGTACAGTGCACATAGTAGGTGCTTAATAAATGTTTATTGACTAACTGCTGAAGAGGGGCCATTCCCCTTGGCTTTCACATCTGGTTCCTGTAGGATAGAAGGCTCAAAATATTTAACAAAACACAAAAACTACAGTAGAACATAGATAATGCTAATATTGGTTTTAAAAATCAACACATTATGCCCAGGGATCCTTATGCATAGTCGTTTTTGTTTGCGTTTGGCATCACAGCTATAGGAGACTTATGCCACTGGACTGAGGATATGAAAACCTTAAACGTTTCCAAAAGACACAGTGAATAAACACAGATCAGTTTGCTTTTAAATGTGTCACCTCCATCTCCTAGAATTGGTCCAAACCTCTGTTCTGCTCGTCAGTCATGAGAACATATCTCTTTGCCTCTCTCTCTCTGTCTGTCTCTTTCTCCCCCCATCTCTTTCTCTCCCCCTCCCTTGCTCTCTTACTCTCTCCCTCTCTCTCTCTCGCTCTCTTGCTCTCTCTCACTCTCTCTCCCTTTCTCCCTCCCCCCTCTGTCTCTTTCTCTCTTGCTCTCCCTCTCCCCCCCCGCTCTCTCGCTCTCTTGCTCTCTCTCCTGTCTCTCACTCTCTCTCTTGCTCTCTCTCTTCGCTGTCTCGCTCTCTGTCTCTCTCTCTCTCCCTCCCTCCCTCTCTCTCTCTCGGTTGGTTACTCAGGTTGACAGAAATGTCTTGTTCTGCTGCCCTGCCCTAGGCCCAGTGACGGTCATCTTCCACATCTGAAGGGTCTGTGGTTCCACGGGTGTGTCCACACACCCATCCTCCACTGCAGCAGTGGCTCGATGTTTTATGTGTTGATTTATGTGTTTTATGTGTTGATTTTCCTATCTCTTGATAATTACGGTTCAGTCATTAATGGGTGAAAGGCTATCAGCTAAAACAGATTCTTCTGTCGTTGAGAACAGGAGTGATGTACAGGCAGGCAACGTGGCCAGATAGTGCTTTACTGATTCCTCCCCCTTCCTTAGAGCAGTGTCTACTAGCAGAGGGAGGCAGTTGTGCACAGGCCTCTGGTGTTGTGAAGTGACCTTGTTTTTGGTGGGCTGCTTTGGTCGGAGACCTGGCCAACAAAAGTTCAACGGACAGGACGCCAGAGGAGAAGGGACAAAGGGAGCGTGCCGCCTTCAGTGCGCTTACTCGGCTGTCTGTCCTTTCTTTGTCTGCACCCGAACTGGATTTTCTTTGCTATTATTTGCTTTTAAGACAAACTGGTCCCTTAGGCTCCTGTCGTAAGCTGGATGTGTGAACCATCTTTGTCATTCTGCTTTCTAGATTACAAAAGAACAAGGCCTTGAAGTCCTGCCAGAGCATGACCCCATTCGTGACCAGAGCTGGTATGTGAACAAAAAACTCCGCCAACGACTGCTGGAAGAGTATGGTGTGAAAACATGCACAGTGGTCCAGTTTCTGGGGGATGCGATCATCTTGCCGGCTGGTGCGCTGCATCAGGTAAAAACCAGCACACCTCATGGTTGTGCCTGTGGCTGAGAGAACCTGTGTGTGGATCAGAAGGATGAGTGGCTGCTCAGCTCCACTGGAATAATTTTCCATATATTTGAGAACAGCTGGCACAATCCACCACACTTAGAGGCTGAGGATTGATTTAATTTGTCACTTTGTAGTTGTTTTCTACCTAACGTAATGTGTCATGTTCTGGCTGAAGTCTTAAATGTTTGCTGGGAAGTTGAAAGAGGGACCCTTGGTAGAATTCATTTTTTAAAATACTCGCTATACTGAGACTTAGGGGACCAAATCTGGTTGCCTATAAAAACTGTTCTAACCCCAACTCTAGTGTTTACCCTCTTGGTTATTTCTGATTTATCCTGTAGATGAAGCTTGTTTATGTGTAATTGTTTGCTTGTTGCCTTCCTCCAGTAGACTGAACTCCTTAAGAGCAGGGACCATGTTTGTCTTTTTTTTTTTTGCATCCCCATCATTTAATATACAGTGCCTGGAACGTGGTAGGTGCTTAATAAATGCTTATTGTCTGAACAGGAGGGTGATAAGACAGAGTGGCCTGACTCTAAATAGAAAATCATTTAGGTGGAAGCAAATTAGCTTCTGGGAAGCAATTGCTGCACTCTTGTTCCAAAGTACCAGAGAAATGGGGAGCTAGGGACTTTGCTGCTGGGGCTGGCACCTTGCACCATTCATTCTAACCACTGACGATTGAGCCAATTTGAGCCAACAGCAGATTCACTGGTGGTGGGGAAGGAAGGCGGGACGGAAGGGCATAGAGAAGTGAGATCCATGGGTCCTTCAGAATCCTCACTTAGGGTTCATCATCTCAGGCTCCCCTTCTCTGCCTAGCACAGAGCAAGGCAGACCGAGCTCCAGCTCCTCATTGAACCTTCCCATCACTTGGTAGAAAGGTCATGAACAGTGAGATGGCCCAGAATCCAGAGAGGGAGGGGAAGAGCACCGAGAGATTGCTGGAGAAGAGAGGAGCAAAAGGGTTTCTCCCAGTGAGGGCTACAGGTGTGCTGGCTTTCAAAGAGGATTTGATAGGTGCATATTCATAGCTTGACTGACTGTCTTCTGGATTCTTTTGTTTAATAGAATGTTTTAAGTTTCATCAGACAAACCCTGAGAGGTGAATCAGTGCCAACTTGGAGTTACATTTTTCTTTCTTTTTTTTTTTTTAATTTTATTTTTTAATTAATTTATTTTGATATATCAACAATCACTTCCATATGCTTTTGAGTTTAAAATTTCTCTCCCCCTTCCTCCCCATCACCCTCCCCAAGACGGCACACAATCTAAAAGGCTATACGTGTACATTCCTATTAAACATATTTTCACATTAGTGATCTTGTAAGTAAGAATTAGAACCTGTAGGAGGAACCACCAGAAAGAGGAAACAAAACTCAACAGAAGAAAAAAAAATAGCAAATAGTATGCTTCAATCTGCATTCAAACTCCATAGTTCTTTCTTCTTTATGGATAGCATTTTCCATCACGAGGCCTCTGTGGAGATGTCTTAGGTCCTTGTATTGCTGGGAAGGGTTGTTCCCTTCCCACATCATGGCTGTTATTTTGTACAACGTTCTCCTGGTTCTGCTCACTTCACTCAGCATCAGACCATATGAGTCTTTCCAGGTTTTTCTGAAATCTGCTTGCTCAGCATTTCTTATAGCACGATAGTATTCCATTACATTCATATTGTATACCACAACTTGTTTAGCCATTCCCCAATTGATGGGCATCCCCTCAATTTCCAATTCTTGGCTACCACAAAAAGAGCTGTTATAAATATTTTTGTACATGTGGGTCCTTTTCCCAATTGTATGATCTCTTTGGGATAGAGCCCCAGAAGTGCTATTGCTGGGTCAAAGGTAAGCACATTTTTATAGCCCTTTGGGCATAGTTCCAAATTGCTCTCCACAATGGTTGGATCAGTTCACATGGAGTTACATTTTTCAGAGAAGACAGTGAGGCTACCCCACCCCCCGCCCCAGCTTTGTAGAGTCGAATATTGTCTTGAGTTTGAATCCCAGCTCTTCCTGCCTGATTCATCTCAAACAAGTAATTTTCTCTGGGCTTTAGTTGTCTCGTTTGTGAAACACGAGGATTGGACTACATCCCTAGGATCTCTGCTGACTCTGAATCCTCTAAGCTACCTCTCTCTAACTTCCCTCACCCCTTCTGTTAGAGCTCACCGCTGCCAAATGATTTCATGTGGCACAGACTTAGCCTGGTGCTTTGGGATAGCTCCACTGGACCATTAAGCTCCAGGAAAAGAGCCCTCTTCATCTTTTAGTCCACTAGGTCACTGAGCAAAGGCTTTTGTTACAATTTTATGTTTTCTTTTGGGGACAGGTGCAGAATTTTCACAGCTGCATTCAGGTGACTGAAGACTTTGTGTCTCCGGAACATCTTGTACAATCATTTCACTTGACACAGGAACTGAGGCTGCTGAAGGAGGAAATCAACTATGATGACAAACTGCAGGTGAGGGCTGGATACCTGAGGGATTCTGTGTGTCCTCAGTGGCTTTCCCCTAGCAGCATCAGAGCCCCAAATTTTCTTTGCGGTTACACTTAACAATCTCTCTTTCTTGGGCCCATGGAACAGTGCTTTTCAGCCCTAGATAGTCTGATTAATAGGGGGTTTTCATTTCATGATTTCCCAGTTGAGGTGACTGGAATTCCAACATCTCTTTCAGATCAAAAACATCTTATACCATGCAGTTAAAGAAGTGGTGAGAGCTCTGAAGATGCATGAAGAGGAAATGGAAGAGATGGAGGAGAGCTGAGCGCTGCTGGCTTGGCCCAGGGCTCGCCAGCCCTCGAATGAAGAGCAGCGAGCACTCAAGCGGGAGCTTCACAGGACCGCCCGTGCCGCGACGCAGCCTGAGCACCTGCTCGTCCTGGCTCTGCAGCCGCGCATTTGTTTGTCAGAGCTTCCGCGGTTTGGTGTTCGTTATGGAATTAGGCGCAGCTCCGCGCTGCCGCCTCTGTATTATAGTGTACATGGAGTTTGTGAAAACGTCAGATGTAAACGATGTATTTATTTTTGAAAACCAAAATGCAGAACTCTATGCTATATTGTTGATCAGATGTAAATGTGTTCTTGTACAGTTTGCTAAAATAACTGATATTTTTCACTACATCGAGACAGTTACTGTGAGAGGAGTACACAAACACCAGCTATTGCCTGCGGTGGGAAATTGCTGAATCGCACAGCAGTCATGTCATCATCTGAGATTTACTGCCAAATAAATGTAAAGTTTGTAAAGTACAAAGTATATAAAGTAGATATTAAATACAGACACTTCAATACTTTATTGGAGGTATTCAGTGTACAATTAAACATTTTCAAAAGGTGTAATTTATTTAAAATTGTCTCATTTTGGTAAAATTTATGTGGAACTTTTAAAGCTTAATATTAAACTTAATATGCTATGTAAATATATACATATATACATTCAATGATGTATTTTTTTAAACATTGGCTTGCTTTATTTGTTAAAGTGCAAGTGTTACACATGGCTTTGTACATTGACGTTGAAAGGGGTTTTACATTTTCCATTAAAATGACTTTATCAGATCTTGGCTTGCTGTCTATTTCTCCAGTCTGTGCACTGGATGGTGGTGGTGGAAAGAGTATTCTGGAGATTGTTCGATGTTTTTCATTTTCATGCTTTTGCCCGCTCTAGTTTTCTTGTGAAGCTTCTAACTTGGAAATAGACTAATTGCCAATTTGTGTCGGACTACTTGATGAAGAATATGGGTCATTTGAGTGTCTTATGTTTCTGTTCTTTATTCTGTGGGGTAACCTTAATTGGCAGGGGGGATTCACTTCTAAACTACCAAAAGTTTGATATCTGAGAATAAATTAAAATAGATTTTTAAAAGCATTTGGTTAGTGTCTTCATTTTTGTCAAGAAAACCAGGACACAGTCGTCAGCCCAACCCCACTGCTGGGCTTCTCCATGTTCTAACGACTGCTGGATAGCTCACTATCCCTGGCGTTCGTACTGGCAGTCCAAAGAAGGGCCCTCTTGGCACCCATGCTTCAAGGGGAACAGCGTCTCCGTTCATCTCCAAATCAAAACTGGCGCGAGCGAGCTTTGACTCCCAAGTCTGCCTCCAGTCCCCAAAGCCGCCTTCCTGATCTCGTGGTGGCAGGATAAGAGTTGGCATTACTCAGCTCCCAAACTCGTGTGGTGCCTGGCTCTAGCCCCCTGCTGGCCCAGCCTTTCCTCCTTTCCTTCTGTCCTGGGGTCAGCTTCATGGCTTCTTGCTGCCTCTCCATCCATCTAATCCCAGCATTCCTTTAACCAACACATTCATGCCACCTTCTCCTTGGTTCTGTTTTATCCTATTTAATTTTCATAATGATGACAATCCACATGCATAGAATGTAGCATTTTGTTTGCAGTGTTTTTATACCCGTTAATTTGACCCTGACCTACCTATGGGTATATGTAACAGTTGTTTCCCCTATCAAAATACAAGGTACACAGTCTGCCAACTTGAATGTTAATCCTGTTTCTATCTTCCCCTCCCCACGTTTGCAGGCAAGCTGTAGACATCCCTTCACACAGTTCTCATTATCTATATTCACCCTGGGTCACCTCAGCCCCTGCCTCAGGATATCGGCATAGTAGAAGGAGCATGACCTAGGTTCAAATTCTGACTCTGCTGTCTACTAGCCATTTAACTTGGGGCAACTAATTTGGGCTTTCATGATTTCTCATGTATAAAACAAAATTGGAGTTTTTAAAGCCCAAGTCCTACCTGTGTAGAGAAGTAGTCATTAGAGGTACCCTTAAAGCCAACCAGCCTACTGCATTGCCAGCTTCCCTTTAGAGAAACATCAAAGGAAGAGGAGATAGACTTGGCTAGAAACAGAGCTGGCAATATTAAGGAGTCTTCTTAGCCTTAATCATTATGGTATTAACTCTTGCTTTAAAAATGTCTCCCCATGGGGCAGTGAGATGGTGCAGGGGATGGAGCTCTGGCCTTGGAGTCAGGAGGATGTGAGTTCAAATCCAGTCTCAGACACGACACTTAATAGCTGTGTGACCCTGGGCAAGTCACTTAACCCCGATTGCCTCACCAAAAAAGCAAAAAGAAAAAAGCCTCCCCAGGGGCAGGTAGGTGGTGCAGTGGCACAGTGGGTATAGCACTGGCCCTAGAGTCAGGAGGACCTGAGTTCAAATCTGGCTTCACACATATAACACTCACCAGCTGTGTGACTGGGCAAGTCACTTAACCCCAATTGCCTCACTTAAAATAAAATGCCTCCCCCAATCTCCACTTTATCCAGTAACCTCTTAGAGCAGCAAAGGTGTTTTCTGAGTTAGTGTGTTCTAAAGAATAGACTTCAAAACTTAAGAGCAGTGAGGGTCCCTTCAGGATCCATTGAGCCAGGCAAATACAGAGAAGGTGTGGGGTAGGGATGGTTTCCATCCTGTCACGTGAAACACTGATGCTTTTCTGATTCCATTGAAGTCTGTACCAAGGGCTCCTGACAAATATTTTAGAATGGCGATCGTAGCCTTTTTCCTATTGAGTGTCATGGCAATCAGGTGAGATTTTCCTCCTCTCCTAACCCACAGTGAAGCATCCGCATAGAGACCTCCACAGTCTGGCCACAGAATACGTCTCCCTTCTCCTCTGTCCCCTCAAAATCTCTCTCGGGGCGTCTTGCCTGACTTCCAACCTCCTGGGGCTGTTTGAACCTCCACCATAGCTGGTAGTCTGACCCACTTGGGTCAAAAGGAGTTAGAGGAATGAGTCTGTTATTTGGAATGTTGATAATCCCTTTGGAAAGTAGGAGGGGTAGGGGGCAGGGGCAGGGCTATCCCTATTGCCTTCCTTACCCCCAGGCTTAGAGAGGCAGGGACAGAGATGGGTTGTGGTTGTTTGGAAAATTGCTAGTATCAGCCCTTCTAAATCGACCTTCCATGCACGTTTATGTTCTGATTTAGAGAGATTTCCGGTTTGGAACGTGAGGTCCTTAAAGGTAAGAACTCTATTGGCTCTTCCTTTGACTCCCCAGTGCTTAGAACAGTGCCAGGCACATAGCAGGGCTTCATACACACTTCTTGATTTGTTGATTGATTCATGAGGTCTAAGAGATGTTACCAGGGGAGCTTCTTAAGCAGATTTCCCAGTCTATCCTCCAGCTAACAAAGGGACCTTCCTGTAGCATACAGGTCCAGTAGGGTCCCATTATCTTCTGGATCAAATAGAAAATCCTGTTTGGATTTTATCCCCAAAAGCCCTTCATCACCTGACTCTTCCTAGACCTTAATCTCCTCCAAATACTCTATCCAATGACGGTCCTCCTGGGCATTTTCACTGGAATGTTCTCCCTCCTTGTTTTCCCCTCCTAGCTTATCCTGTCTTCAAGTCTCATCTAAAATCCCACCTTTTGCAAGAAGCCATTCCTGGTTTCCCTAAGGCTAATGCGTTCCCTGTTTTTGCCTTTGAATCCCCAGTACCCAGCATGGTTCCTGGCACGTAGTAGGTGCTTAGTAAATGCCTGTTGACTTGGCATGACCCTGGAAGTGGATCATTTACTTAGAGGAAATGATTTGCTGGGCAGTGCAGTTTCGGGGGTGTTCTGGAACCTAGCCTTCTACAGAGAAAAGGTACTTCCTTCGACAAAACTGCCCTTTTGGAGAAGAGCCTAACGTATGACCTTGGAATAAATATGAAAAGGTTCAGGGGAACAAATATCTGGATTTGCCGCTGTTAGTTTAGTACAGATCTGATAGGAGGATTGTTTCTGACACAATACTAAGTCTATTCCTCACAGGTGGAATCTAGAGTTCTTAGAGTGTAGCCTAGAGAGCCCTGTACCGTTTCTTTGTGGAGAAAATAGGACCCACAAAAATCTCAGGATTTAAGAATTGTTAAAGCTATTTGCACGGGGGCTCCTAGAAGTCATTTGTGCTTTCTGCATTTTCGCTGAAGGGCAACATGCAGGCTGTTCTATACCTCATGTGATTATTACCTTGAGTGCTTGTATGGGATTGGGGCCCTCACCAGGGGAGACCTAGGCAAGAGCTGTATTGGGAAGTCCCTGGGGAAATTTTGCCCTTGAGTGGGTTACATTTAATCCTAATGGATTCTCCTCAGAATAGAGGAGGCAAGACAAGATCGATTCTTGGTCCCCCATGTTGGTAATGACATTCATCCTTAACAGCACTTCTGTTTTACACTTCCCTATGCACACAGGTTTCATACATTTAGAGCTGGAAGGGACCCTGGAGTCAGTGTTGCCGAACCAGGGTAGATACTGTGGATATTTTACTTCCAAGCTCTTTTCCTCTTGTGCTGGGAAGCCCAGAGAGTAGGGACTAATTTCTGTCTGATTTTATATTTTTCCACATCTTTTGATTTTGCTGCTAGGGTTCATGGACCCAGTTACCTCTCTGTCCACTGCCGGCTAGCTTCACGCCAGATGTGGTGAGCCCTCTGGCCAGGCACACAGGCCCAGGAAGTAATGAACACTGCCTACTTTGTGTGACTGTGGGGATTGGGGAGGATCCCTGGAAGGCTCTTTGAAAGAAGAGAGGTGGGGACTGAGATCCCTGTCAGATTTCCCCTTTGGGCAATGATTCCAGCTAGCTCCTTGTGAGAGCCCACTGGGGCCTCAGGCCCTGATGCTGCTCCCCCATTGGTCCCAAACACTGGGGGTGTTATCATTTATCCTCAGGCCGAAGGATGGGTGGTAGGCATCGGCTGACTGACCCAAGAGGCTTCATCAACTGTGAATGTAGCTGTTATTTAGCCCCTCCCTGCCTATTCTATAATGTGGTCTGGCCTTGGTTAGGGATTGGTCTCCCCAGTGAACGAACCACATACATATGCTTGGAATCTACGCCACATGCTTTTCTCCCACTCAGAGTAAGTCCTTCTTTTCCAGTTAACTTTCTTTGAGTGGGGGAAGGGGCGAATGAAAACGTATAAGGTGCTTAGTGATCCTCAGAGGCACAGCACGATAGGCTCATTCTTGGGGCCCAGTTCGGGGTTGGCTGGAAGGTGCTGATTTCCTCGTCCGTCATCCCTCTTCCACTGGCAGATGGGGTGCGTTGCCTAGTCACCTGCTTAAAGAGAAAGCTTAGCACCACCAGTGAACTGAGGGAGAGTCGCCAGGAAGGCTACACAGCTATTCCGTTAGTAGGAGCCTAGGATTGGGGGCTGGAAGATGATACCTTTGAAGGGGGAACCAAGTACCGCATTTTACAGATTAGGAAACTGAGGCACAGAGAAGGGATGTAATTTGCCTATGATCTCTCAAGATTTGATAGTGGAAGAGGCAAGCGGGACATAAATCCCAATCTTCTGATTCCTAGGCCAATAACGCCCTTCCCATGATACCTGTCTTAGTTCCCTGAGACACCCTCACTGCGTTTGATAACTGGTTACTGGCTTCCCCACTTCAGTAGGTGGAACGTGCGGCCTGACCTGTTCACAGGCCCTTGTGAGGTGGTAGGGGCCACTCGGTATCATGCTTCTAGGATTTTCTTAAGATAGTCCATCTGGGTCTTTTCATAAAGCACGGGGGGACTCTCGAACGAAGGGAGAAAAAAACCATCGCTGGCAGGCATTAGCTCCCTGGCTGCAGACCAAGCGTTCTCCCCTTCTTGGCTGGGGAGGTTTTCACAGCTGACTTCAGCTGCTCTCAATTGGGCCTCTGTAAAGGAGCCGAGAGCCAGGGTTTCAACCAGGGTGGCCAGCTGCAGCTCTCCTAGCCGGGCCTCCCTGGCCTGCCTTTGTTTCTCCTGGTGTCTGCCCCTCTAAACTGAGACTCACTGAGCTTGTGGCCAGCAGAGGACGGGCCCAAGACAAAGCGGGCCCTGTAGCTGGGGGTCAGACAGGGGCTTCATTGTGATCGGGC